ATCTAAAGATATCTACATTAGTGAACAGGCATACCCAAATGATCTTGCGGTGTAAATATGTTAAGAGTAAAGGTATGTGCATGGAAACATGTGTATATTTATATATATATATGCATGTTTGGCTTTCTTGGGAAACTGGTAACTCAGAACATTGAGTAGTTGAGGGTTATATCCTACATAGGCGGGCACACATGTACCTTGGGAACACGCAACTTAGAACATCTAAAGATACCTACATGAGTGAACAGGCGTACCCAAATAATCTTGTTGTGTATACGTTTTAAGAGTAAAGGTATGTGCTTGCAAATATGTGTATACATAGATTTTTATTTATACATGTCTGGCTCTCTTGGGAAACTGGTAACTTAGAACATTGAGTAGTTGAGGGTTATACCATACAGAGGCTGGCACACGAGTACCTTGGGACCACGCAACTTAGAACATCTCAAGATATCTACATTAGTGAACAGGCATGCCCAAATGATCTTGTTGTGTATATACGTTAAGAGTAAAGGTTTGCGCGCGCAAATATTTATATATATATATATAGATTATCTAAATATATACATGCATGTTTGGCTTCCTTGGGAATCTGGAAACTTAGAACATTGAGTAGTTGAGGGTTATCCCATACATAGGCTGGCGCACAAGACAGATATGTGTATATATATATATATAAATACATATTCTTTTCACTTGTTGTTGACAGTTGTTGACATTTTGTTTTCAAGGCGCAAGCTCCTGCATACGCATGTGATTCATCTCCGCTGACTCAGGCACATGCTCTGGCAACATCTTGTCAATGTCCAGTGTGCGCAGGATGTTCTTCAATTCAAACTTCCTCTGTGCCAAATCAAGTGCTGCTTTGGATTCATCACCTCAGCCATGAAAGCACTCACAGAAGCCAACTCAGAACCCCAATCTCTTGTATTTGTCTCCCTTGCTCTCTCTCTCTCTCTCTCTCCACATATGTGTGTATATATATATAAAGAAATACATATTGTTGCATATCATATACTTGGGTGACACGAAAGTCGTCAAGTGGCCTTCATAATGCCACCTGCCCATGTCTCCGAAGGTGCAATAGCCACACTTGATCCAAGCCATGCGAATCACAGGATTGCACCTGGCAAAGCCAACTTTCAATGCCATGCGCCCCCTTATCGTTTGCCAGCTTCTCTACCTTTTCAAGTAGGGACATGGCGCGTTCGGAAGGTTATGCCCTGGCCTGTGTTGCCCTTCGAGCCAGAACTCAGGCATATATACATAGAATATCTGTATACTGTCTATGAACTATAGTCTATTTGTTGATTGTATCATGCTTTGCCACGCCATGATATCATGATATTTACCCGCTGCTGCTGCTATCCAATGTTGATGATATATGATAAAATGTTCTATGTTACGTGTTCACATGCAGACTCGGCCGAGTTATGTGACTTGTTTTGATTATATACTATCCTGGTATCATGAGAAAACTTTGCGCATTCATGGTTGATATGTGTATATATATAAAATATATATATATATATCACCTCGCTGTTTCTAAGTTCCTTGTTCAGCAGGGTATGTTCTTTTTCGTTGACTATACACATAATTTGTGATGCTCAAAGTTCCCAATTTTGTGATGTTCTAAGTTCAATGTTCTTTAGATGTTCTAAGTGTACGTCAAAAAAAAACCTGACACCCAAAGGATGTTCTAAGTTTCACTCCATCACTATATATATATATGCAAATTTTCATGCAGAGTCGCATGTCCACTCGTTCCCGGCGGTCATGAGTCAAGCGCCCCCCATGCCTGAAAAGGCACTGATCGCCGCGTTTGCGCCACGCATGGTAGCGGAGCTCGGCTTCTCACGAGAGAGAGAGAGAGAGAGAGAGCCGGGCAGTAGATCCAGGGACACCGAGGAGGAGATCCTTTGTTGCTGGAGCTTGCAAAATGTCAGAGCTGCGATACAGCAAGGATGGTATACCTATCTATGATGGGTCGTCAGACCAGTATATACCCTACAAGCGTGCTGCATTGAACTTTGTTGAAACGCTGGAATGGAAGAAACAACCACTTGCTGGACCCCGCCTGCAAGCAGTCTTAGAAGGAGCTGCCAAGACAGCAGTTCAACACAAGTCACCAGGGTGGATATCTCATGAGAGGGGCGCTCAAGAACTGCTCTCCTTTTTGAAGACCTAGGTACAAGCTCCCACACTGGCTGAAGCAGGAAAGACAATCAGCAAGTTCTTCTACCCGTAAAGGCGAGTGAATGAATGCCTGGATTGTTCGGCGCGATGAGGCCTTGTATGAGGCCAGAAGGACATTGGGCGAGGCCATCGAGGAATATGGACAAGGTTACTCCTCTCACGTTGATGACTTCATGTTTGGAGGATCAGCAACAGACCCCCGCTGGGGCCACATCAAGAAAGCAATCACCACGCGCTTCAAGTTTGGAGAGTGGGAAAAAAGGGAAATTTACACAATGTGGTGTGACCATAGAACAAAGAAGTGATTTTTCCTTCCAGCTTTCACAGCGTGAGTTCCTGGACCAAGTGTCTGAAATATACCTCACCAAACAGATGTTCAAGAACCCTGAGGACAAGGCCACAGCAGATGAACAACAACAGATGAGAAGCGTGTTGGGCTGTCTCGCATGGCATGCTGGACAGTTGGCTATGGAATGGAGTGCACCTACAGGATTACTCCTCTCCAAAGTGTCACAAGCCAAAGTAGTTTTGAAAAAAGCAAAACAAAGACAAGGCCAGAGCATGGTCATACACACCCTAAACAAGGAGGGGATCATTTTAGCTACATGGGTGGATGCCACACATGGCAACCGCCAGGACTTGAGCAGTACCAAAGGAGTACTGATAGGATGCACCTCACGAAAGCTTCTTGAGGGCACACTTGAACCAGTCAACCCAGTCTTTTGGAGTTCATCTAAAATACATCGCGTTTGCCGCTCGAGTGCATCGGCCGAAACAAGGGCAGCCGTCGACGGAGAAGACCAGTTGTATGCCATGAGGTTCCAGGTTGCCGAGTTTTTGGGAAAACATGCCAATGAAACGGTGAATTATGTTGAAGGTGTTCTCATAAGTGATTCTAAGGACCTCTATGATCGGCTGAGCTCCACCGTTTTGACCCTTTCCGGAGCCGAGAAAAGAAGTGACACCGAGACCCTTTGTTTGAAAGAAGCCCTTGAAGAAAACCATGTCCATCTTCGATGGGTTAATGGCGAGAGCCAATTAGCCAACAGTTTGACCAAACTGGACGAACCACAGCAAATCCTGATGTTCAACGACAGGAACGGGAGATGGCGAGTGGTTTACGATGAAGGTTTGGTTTCGGGTCGTAGGAGAAAGCAGCAAGGAAACGGACCTTTAGATTGATCTGGCACTTTAGGAGTACCACCTGTGCAGAATTTCATTCAGAGTCGCATGTCCACTCGTTCCCGGTGGTCATGGATCAAGCGCCCCCCATGCCTGAAAAGGCACTGATCGCCGCGTTTGCGCCAGTGAGCTTCGCATATATATATATATATATCTGTGTGTGTATACAAGAAAGACCTTCCTTATCTTGAAAGAATGAATTGTGTCATGCTGTGCCTTGGATTGCTTCAAAGGCATCCGGCTGGTCGGGTTCCTCGGGCTCCTCCGGCTCCTCTATCTCCTGACCTTGCCGCCCATTTGGACATCAATAACTGACAAATCCTACCAATTTGACATCGCCACAAGACTAGCTGCCCGACAGGCATCTGGGAGCTCATCAAGCTCCTTCCCAAAACCGGAACGTGTTCGGCGCTACCTCTACTTTCCGGCGTGCAGTACCCCGAGGGGGGTGCCCCCCCCCCAACCCAATCATTCTAATATAACCAACCAGGCCACAAGCCGAAAAGGATGGACAACATCAGGCAGCATCTTTGCAACCCCAACAGTCACCTTTGATGCGTCATCTTGCATGACGCAACCCAAAAAGTACACCTGTAGTGAAAACGTGTATACTGTATACTAAACTGATGTGTATGACAATGGCTGCTGTCCTGGATGGTTGGGACAGTCTTCACAGCCGGAAATGTGGCAGTTTGGAGCACG